CCATCCGCGACAGCGGCAAACAAGCCTGCGAATGTGCGAACGCAGAACGCCTGTGACGCATGCCGAATCAGCAAATCGAAAGTCAGTCCATCTCTAGGCGCGTCATTGTGATTAAAAGCAATGTTCCGTGCCGTGACGCACTTCCCTTCTCGTTCCAGGCTCACAGATTCCCTATCCAGTGCGACGGCACTGTTCCCTGCGCTCGGTGTCAAAATAAGTGGCTGGCGTGCACTACGTCTCGCCTTCACGCAAAGGCCGTGGGCCCGATATCAGCAGAACATGTGGCAACGCTCCAGGCGCAGCAAAGGCGACTCGCCCTCGCGGTGTCTGCGATGGCCCACGTGATCAAACAAGCAGAGTCGCGCGGCTTTGTCGAAGACGATAGTAGGGCCAGCGCCACCGTCGCGCCGCTCTCACCTGTGGAAATGGCACATACCTTACAGAGGTTCGCCCCCGACGACCCAACAGCCGCCACAGTACAGGTAGATTCGACTCCGGAATATCTCGAATCCCAGTCTAAGAAGCGTAGACTCATCCCCAACAGCGATGTCCCGATGGCCGACTCCCCACAATTGGGAGGTCCTGCGGAAGATCTGCATCCCTTCGAGAAATTCTTTGCGATGGTAAAACGGCAGAATATTGGTAATCCGATGCCAGTAGAACCTGTTCCGACAGCTTCGACCCAGCCTGGCACCGCCGCAAATGAAGGGCTCGAGATAATGGATCCGTCTGCACCGACCTTCGAGTTCCACCCACAGCTCGCACCGTTTGTGGACTTAATCGACTGGGAGGCAAGCCTGGAGCATTTTGTCGACTCTCAGTACGATGGAGAGAACTTCAATTGGGCAGATCTCGATACGTTCAATGTTCCCGACACGATGTCTTGACCCATCAAGATATTTGAGAGATGTGCTTGGCGTCCAACGGGGAGTGGATCGATATATGCGGAGGATCCGGAAGCGCTAAGGCGTTCTTACCAATTTCGAGGCGTAGATATACCATGCAGGCAACCCATGCCACGACACTCGGTGGTAATGTCTGTTACTCAATGGAAAAATCTTGATGCTTTGTCTTCATGTAATTCCTTCCGAAAATACGTGTTTTCCGACGAGTTTGTGAAGTGGACCTAGCACGATGCAAGAGAGAGAGGATGCGTTGGCTGAAGAAGAGGCTGGTCTAGATGAGCTCGCAGCACCGGCGCCAGACGATAACCCCAATGAGGACGACTACTATCAACATGAGAGCCTAGAGTCCGCTCGTCATCGTGCTGACGTCTCACCGATCAAAGGAGAGCGGCAAACAAAATCTCGACTCGAGAGCAGCCTCACGCAAGTCTACATCGTCAGCTATCTCATCTTCTTCTCCATCTTTGGCGTTCTCGCGCGTATTGGTCTACAGGCTCTTACTATCTATCCTGGCGCTCTTGTGGCCAACACAGACCTGTGGGCCAATGTTGGCGGCAGCTTCATTATGGGGGTACTTCGCGAAGACCGCCTGTTGTTCCGCCGTCACTGGAGAGAGCATGTTCAGAACGCGCAGAAGAACGCAGGTTCCAGCCCTGCAAACAGCCATCGCGGCTTGGACACCAGCGACACACCTGATCAGGAGAATATCATGGACGCGGCACGCAAATCCTTTACTTCCGCAAGAACGGGGATTCCAGCTTACGTTGGTTTGAGCGTGGGGTTTTGCGGCTCCTTCACATCATTTGCTTCGATCTGTCGGGACGGTTTCCTGGCCATTGCAAACGACATCAACACTGCCCCAATCTCAACAAAACAGGCTGGAGTCGAGTTCAGGACGCGACCAAGCGGGGACAGCGTCATGGCCCTCCTCGCCGTCATAATCTTAGAAGTCGGCTTGAGCATTGTAGCGCTCACTTGCGGGGCGCACTCTGCGACATTCCTCGCACGTCCGGCGGAGAAAGTCCCCGTATTGAATCTCAGCCGGATGCTGAATCCTCTCATCGTCGTGTTGGCATTCGGTTGCTGGCTTGGGGCGACCCTAATGACGATTTTTCCCACTCACGACGTCTGGAGGGGGCGCGTTCTTTTCAGCATAGTCTTTGCACCACTTGGCACCCTTTCACGATTCCAAATCTCAGTCCATCTGAACAAATTGGTGAAGAGCTTTCCCCTCGGAACCTTTGCCGCCAATGTCCTTGGGTGTTGTGTGATGGGCATGAGCTACGATCTACAGATGTCTTCGGCCGGATCTGCCATTCTCAGCTGCCAAATTCTACAAGGAATTATCGACGGCTTTTGCGGTGCGCTGACGACGGTGAGCACGTGGGTCCTCGAGCTGGACACCCTGAGGTTAGAGCATGGGTATTTCTATGGAGCTTGCAGCATCTTCGCCGGTGTTGGCTGTTTCACCGTGGTGATGGGTTCTGTAAAGTGGACGACTGGCTTTGTTGCTCCAACATGTAGTGTTTGATATGGAGCTTTATCAACTTAAAATCCCTAGATGAGCAGATACTGTTGCTATCGCACTGATAGAACGTTTTGTTCAAGACACCCGAGCACAAAGAGCGTCAATATAGTGGTACGTTGAGCGACGCCGAACGAGCAATATGAACTTTCCGCCCGTCTTTGATATAGCACTCGTGTCTCCACGCGCTTGAGAAGGTCAAGATGCGGATCCATCGACGTGGATCGTCAAGTGCAGATCGCACTGGCTCGCGATGCAGGTCGCTAGTAGCTGGTGAGTTTTCGTGTAGATAGCGAGGCTGTGTACTATTGAAGGAATCCGGTGTATGACCAATCGAGCATGGACACTGCGCCCCAGAAAGTCTTCTGTCCGATCTCTGAAGGCCAGAGTCAGGATTTGACATGATCGCGTCGGCAATCGACCTTTCCATGACCTTCGTCTGCGCCTCTGCCCGGTGACTTGCCATAGGTTCCTTTTCGATCTCTACCTTCTGATTCAATTGTTCACCTTGAATCCCATCCGAAACTGCCGTCAGCCACTCAAGCTGCCGTCGCACCTGGCCTGACGACTTCGTCCAATGCCACCGTCCTGAAATGCCCTGATCACGCGTGTTCGATGCCTTCGGCCTCCTTGGTGGGGTACAAGGATACTCATTCATGGCTCTCTCATCAAGTGGTCCACTGATTGCCGCCGCAGCGAGTATTTGCTCGACCCAGATGGAAGCCGTCTCGGCTGTGGGAGCGACGTATAGCAGCTGTTCGCCCTCCACTCGGAGACGAAAAGCGTTACCGCCGTCTTTAGAAAAGGCGCGCACGCGGTCTTTGGAATCCACCGCGAGGCCTGCATCGGCGAGTTGTAGAGTGTATGCGCGAGCTCGGCTGAGACTGGAATGGTGTTCACGACCGTGGTGTTGTGGGATAGGGATGAGTTCAAAGACTAGGCTAGTACCTTAGTTTGCCTTCGACGTATTCCCATCTGCTTCGCGCTGCTGCAGTTGCTGGTTTGTGGAATTCCTTTTTACGTAGTAGTCGTCCTTGGAGATTGATTGTGCAGCGATACGATGGCGGAGCTTCAGAAGAATCGAGGGCTCGATATGCTGGAAGCGCCAGTGTCACCGTCTCTCTCTCTTTGACATGAGCAAATCTTTGCATTCGTGAGGCCGGTAAGAAGAGTCTTCCTTTATGGTCGACAAAGTCGTGGTCTCCGCTCAACCCGTAAGCATGTCTACTCGACCGCCAGCGTGATCGTACTTTTACAGGCTATCAGTGGACTGACACTTTGGATACCCCTAGTAAGGACCTCGGAAGCTCGGATGGACTAGTGTTGTATTTCTCCGAACCCTCTGGCCCAAGGCTGAATTCGGAAAGGTACGGAAGAGACTGTAACTGGAAATGGAGGGCAATGTGACCGTGAGGAACTTCTGTGTGCGAATATTACGGCACTGTTCGGGTTTATGTCTATCGAAAACTTTTCAATTTGCTAATGATGGGCTGAGCGGAATGACTCTCCCGCATAACGAATCGAGATCTTCCGAAGATGCAAGTCGTCTTCGATGTCCATCAAGCGATTGTATTTGACCACGCGCTCTCCGCGGGCAGGCGCACCAGACTTTAGATGCCCTGTTCGGAGACCTACGGTCAGATCGGCAATGAAATCGTCAGTCGTCTCTCCTAAACGATGTGACACGAAGGCAGACCAGCCTGCAGAGTACGCCTCCTGGGCCCTGATCATTTGCGTTAGCTCTGAGCTGGGTTCACAAAGGAAAAAAGGGCTACCTACGCTGCGATGGCTGCCGTCACTGTCCCTATCTGATTCACTTTTAGAAGCATGCTGTGAAGGGCGTTCTTCTGGACGGCTTTTCTGACTCTGTTGATATTTGTGGCAAGCAGATCATCTCCAACAAGCTCCACTTTGCAGGGCTGGTTGAATTTCGAAAACGCATCCCAGTCGTCCTGGCCAAATGGATCCTCTAGGAAGACAATCGGGCATTTGTCCAATAGTTGACGATATAGCTTTCCCAGCTGTGCGGCATCCAGGACATTCGGCTTGTCTGTCTTGAATCCAAGATTATACCCATCTTACTGAAAAACGACCGGGATGCGGGATCGATGCCAATCTTGATCTTCCCCTCATGACCAGCCTTCGCAATGGCCGCGACGAGAAGATCCAAGGCTCCCTCTGGATGACCGATGGGAGCTGCGCAGCCTCCTCCATCGCCTAGACCGAAGACCAAAGACCGAATGCTGCCTTGCCGTACTTCTCCTGAATGATACTTTTCAGCGCCATGTATGTCTCGGCATTCCACTGCACGGCCTCGGTGAAGCTGCTCGCCCCCGTGGGCGCAATCATGAACTCTTGAAAAGCCATTGGGTTGCCGCTGTGATCGCCGCCATGCAAGACGTTCATGAAAGGAACGAGCATAACGTATTCATTCGTCGGGTATCCACCCTCACTCGCGAGGAATTCGTACAGCTGAACTCCCCGCGCGGCTGCTCCTGCTCTTGCCGCAGCCATACTGATTGCCAGAATGGCATTAGCACCGAGTTTGCTCTTGTCCGCTGAGCCGTCGAGTCGGATCATGAGTTCGTCGATCTTCTTTAGGTCGTGCGCGGGATCGAGGCCACTCTCAGTGATCTTGGGCCGGAGAACGCGATTGACATTGCCACATGCTTTGGTCACTCCATTCCCGTGGAATACGGACATATCGCCATCGCGCAGTTCGACGGCTTTGTAGTCTCCTTTGGATGCTCCCGAGGGAACAGGTCCGCGGAAAATGTCGTGAGAAGATTTTAAGTCCAGTTGTACCGTGGGCTTCCCTCTCGAGTCAAGATGTTGGGAGGCGCGGATGGATTGGATCGCCATGGCGGAGGTGGGCCGAGGGGAGGGAATGCAAACATCGTTGCCAGTGTGTAACTTGCTGTATTGTATCTATTCGCGCCTTTGGCACCGTCCTGCAGTTTCGGCTGGGGTTGTGTGCGAATTCGTGAAGTCCTGCCGCTGCTGAGGTGTATCCGACGAGGTTGAATGACGTCTCGCGCAAAGCGGCGATTGCTGATCACACTGACCTTAGCGCATCCGAAGATGCCGGTTGCGCGCTAGTTCCGCAGTTCCCATCCGATACTGCCGATGGTCGAGGAGACAGGGATAAGGCTGGCTATCACCGCGGAATGATAATAAGACGGTCTGACTATCTTGAGAGCATTTGCCAGATTACGCCATCGCAAACATCTCCTATCGAAACTATCCAGCCGCACGACGGACATCGCTATGACATTTTCCGAAAAATGGTCTACATTTGTGTCGAAACTCCGGCGAGGGAATTCCGCATCAAGCAAGTCCGAAGTAACACAGCAACATCAACACCACCACCACCACCAGCACCAATCGTTCGAAGACGAATGCGCCAATCTCACCGAAGTTTCCGCCCCAGAACCCGTGCAGAATCGAGATGAGGATGCTCCTGTCTATGTACATCATACGCTTGAAGAGGAACGATAGTTGGAGAAAGGGCTCAATATTGAAACGATTGGAAGCATGTCGGGCTCGATGAGAGTACATTGATATTATACAACTTTCTTAACGATGTTCATCGCAATCTGGATTATTCTACAACTTTCTTAACAATCTCCATCGCAATCTCCATCAATGATATTCTCATGCCTTCAACGAAATTGTGCCCTCTTGTACGTACCTCAGTCATCCAAGTCCACAATCTCCACCTCACTCGTCATAACCAGTGGACTTTTCCTCGCCGCTTCCGATATGAGTTGACCACAATGCCGCGCATCCCACAGTTCCGGCTTGCTGCTGCAAAGCGGGATTGCTGAATGCAACGCAACTCTGACAAGAGCGTGCTCGGAATCTGCCTCGTTATCGAAGGGTGTTTCATCATCGTCGTCATCGCTTAACCACTCTAGAGAGCTTGTTGTGGTCTCATCTGAAGGTGCATCCAACTCGGGAACTTTGTATAGTTCGGCATCCGCACCTGTACAAACAATCTTCGTAGTCGCTGCACTCAATCCTCGTAGTCGCTGCACTGGGGCCACAGCGCACCTTCATCATGGATGGAGGGGCGAGGGCAGATGCTCGGCGGGAAATTTTGATTACGTCTAACATCAACAGGTGTGCGACGACTCTTCTTAGATCTGTGCTCTCTTGTCGGAATTATTGATGGAGCTTCGTGTCAACGAGAGTCTGTAGCGCATGGTCTGAAATTGTGACAGTGGATGCGCCACAGGCATTGCACGCCGATAGTCGTGAGTTGTTCCCGACATTGGCGGTTTTCGTCGCCGGCCGTCGTGAGTCACTACTGAAAATAGATCCAGGATGTATGGAATAATGTAAAGGGACTTTTGTCCTTTTGTAACCTCCATCTGTGTTCACATGCCATGTGTCGGGTCGTACGGATGCCTCAAAAACGGCGACTGCCTC